TCTCACAATTAGTTAACAGGGGATGCAAGGAAGAAGAACTAGGTTAAATAACATTAAAATACCAGTGAGCAAGACAAGTAGCACGGACCCTAAGCAAATGCCCTAGTGACACCTGTCCGTATGCAGGGGCACTGAGGTTAGGGGAGACCCACAGCAGAAACATAAGCAACGTTGGTGGCAACTGTGGCCACAGCCTGAGGATCAAAGAAAGTTTCCAGGGATCTGGATGGTAGGCTCACTTTCCTGTCCATATTGGACCTTATTCCTATGTGTCTGCATAAATATTAATTCTCTAGCATGAACCCAGGACAGGTACTATGAGGAATCACTCAGTAAATTTTATCAATAGATTATTTCAATAACACAAACATTTCAAAAAAGCAGGTCAAGGTGCTATGATCTGGATATGATTTGAATGTCTCCAAAGAGTTCATGTATTGAGATTTCATCTCTATAACGTGCTATTAATCTGACTATGGTATTTAGAGATGAAGCTTTGGGGAGGTGATTAGAATTACATAAGGTCAATAGGGTGGATTGATCATCATTGAATCCCAGTAGCTTTATAAGAAGAGAGAGATAAAAAGATGGCCAAGTAAGAGAAAGCTGAGTTCCTAGTGGCTTCATGGTTCAAGATTCAAGCAGCAGGATCTTGGGATTGCAGTATGGCAGAGCTACTGTAGGGTAACTGAAACCCAGATCCATCAGTTTGCAGCTAGGACTCTGTAGGCCAGTCTGAGCCTAATAGTCCTGTGGAAAGTCAGAAGTAGGTTTTGAACAGGCTGGCTATAATGAATCAGAAGTTTGAAAAAGGGAGTGATGGTGTCTTAGTCTCAGCTCAGTCTAGCACCCTCTAGGTTCCAGGGGCCCACTTCACCCAGCACTACCTGGGTCCCAGCACCAGCCTGGTCCCTAACTCCCTCCCCCATCTGGCATCCACCGATCCCCTCATCCCACCAGGTCCAGCATCAACCCAGCACCTAACGGGGCCCTCTGGCTTTCCAATCCCCAGTCTCCCAACCCCTCAATAGGTCCCAACCCAGCCCATAATTGCAGCTATGCAGCTGGCCCTCAGGTCTTAGCGCTTGGTCTTGATCACCTGCCAGATACAGAACAGCTCTCATGACCAGTAGCACAGGTCCTGGTGCTCAGCCCTCAGGACTGCCTGGGAGAGAAGTGTGTGACCAGGAATTTTAAAGGGCTGGGGCAGGAGAGATTGAATTTAGAAACTAAACTAGAGACCAGGAATGTGGAGTCCTCAGGCAAAGTAAAAGGCTAAGATCAGGCTCCTCTATGGCATGAGTGGAACCCAAAGGAGATTCCTGGGGTACAGTCTTTCAATGTGGACTGGCAATTATGAGACATTTTTCCTTCTTGGAAGACTTTAGGATTGCCTCAAAGAGCACGGTGGTGCTCTCTGTAATGCCTTTTATTGCCTTAAGTCTTTCCTGTGTTGCTGACCAGCTTATTTTACAGTGTAAGAACACTGACTTAGGTTTTGTTGAACTTTTTTCTGTGGCACATCAGCCACGTGTCTGTGCCATTTGTTTTCAGAAGAGTCTCATCGATTACAACACGTCGTTTTAGTAGAAGCATTGTGGCTTTAGTTGGTGCTTTCAGAACTGCTGCCTAGGAAACTAACCCTTATTTGAAGGGGAGTCATGGCTTGTTCTCTTTGTATAGTTACTTTATTATTTATTTAGTTGTTAAGCTTTGTGGACCAGGAGTTTTTGTTTGGGGGCAAACCTCTAAACAGAATCTTAATAAGCTTTGGTTGTCACCAAAACAGCCTCCACCAAAGCTTTGACCTGGTTGAGCTCTTGAGTCATAGAAGTTGATTTTGCACTTAGCTTTTTTGGGGAGTGGGAGAGGAGGGGGTTTGCCGTGTGACCTCATTAGTGACTGTTTAACTTAAACAGATGCTTTATGGCACCTGCTTAAGTACATGACTGTACAGGAAGATCTTGGCTACTACCAACTGGTGCTGATTTAATATCATGAGAGGCTGAAATGCATTGTGGATCTGTTTCTTAAGAGAAAAGTCCTGATTTCTTTATAGAACATGTATATAACAATTTTGATCATCTTGTCTGTTCTAAAGTTTGCCTTTTTGTTCAAATGTTATTTCTCCTTTTTTCCCCCTTTGAGTAATAACACTGTTGCTAATGTGGCAGGATCCTTATTCTAACAACATGTATATATGTCTAAAGGAGATTGTGTAGCTTACATGTTTCTACACATTTCATCCTTAAAAAAATTGTTCAAAGGTTGTATTTACCATCCAAGTCTGGAAATCAAGGGGACTGTCCAGTTTCCAAATTTTCTACCAGAGGACTATGTGTAAGTAGGAAAAAAGTCTTTAACTACTTACATATAGTTTGTGTGTGTATGTGTGTATATATGTATATACATATATATACATATATCTATATATATATATAGATATACAAATTGTGTTAAAGAGCTGTGTACCAATTTTCATAAGACAATGTTTTGTGATATAAATGTAATACCACATGATAGGCAAAGGCCTCCCTGCATTTGAAGAGCAGGTTTTTGTTTATATGTATTTGGGGGATAAAAAATAAAATTTGTAAATATAGCCACATTTCAAAGGGTAATACTTTCCTAGCATAGAGGACTGTGTGTATATAGGTATGTTTGCTGCTGAGGGAGTCTTTGTATCCAGTGTTTTTAAGGTAAAAATAGGTAGTCTTGTTGAGTGCCACTGAGAGAGACCAGGAACTAGTGAAGAGAGGACCTACATCTGCCCTGGAATCCAGTCTTCAGATCACAGTAAGTGAATATTGGTTACCTTGAAGCAACGGTGCTTTTCTGAACTGGCAGTGAAGGGTTTTTGCATCCTAGAATATTCAGAAGTTAAGGCAGGTTAGGTGTAGTTGGCCTTTCACACAGTGAAACACCATCTCTACCATTTCGTCCTCACATGGTAGGGGTGCTGGGCAAAAGGAGATGCAGCTCACTCAGTGCTGCTCTTGACTCTCCTAGGTTGAAAC